TCTCTCTCTCTCTCTCTCTTCTTCTCTCTCTCTCTCTCTCTCTCTCTCTCTCTCTCTCTCTCTCTCTCTCTCTCTCTCCCTCTGTTCTCTCTCGCGACCGTGCGCTCTTTCGCAAACAACTCAATTCTCGCTATATTCCTCTCTGGCGACTGATAACTGTGAGTTTTCCTACATGATGACAGCTCCCGGCCCTGAACATCAAGTGGCGTGTGTATAAAATAAAATATTAAATTTCAGATATTCATTGAGCGTTATCGCGTCAGTGATTCGAACAATCGACGCAGGAATTTTTAAATGGGAAACGCTTTAAGGATATATTTCACCTATTTTTACTTACAATGAACAAATTGAAAAAAATTTTATAAATCATTCTTCTAGATCACATTTAAAAATAATATAAAAAATTTTGCGATAGAATCTGGTTCAAAAACTATTTAAATATAAGATAGAAATGTGCTTCAATAAAAATGTAAGTAAGAAATAATGACGAAAATCTCAATTTTTTTTATATAAGTACTTTAAGTATTCAAGATGATTTATATAAAGTTTCATCGTGGTGTGGTTGTTCCACATAAATAAAAATTAAATCTAATCTCTGCATTGCAATGAAACTTTACATAAATAATCTTGAATATTTATATAAAAAAAAATTGAGATTTTATGTCATTATTTTTCAATTTTATTTTTACATTTCCAGTAGACACATTTCTACTTATTTATTTAAATCATTTTTTTAAACCGCCGCTAAACTTTTTTCTATTTGTACTTTTAATTTATTTATTTAACAATTTAGAATAATCTGTAAATGTTTCATAATAATAACTTTTTTATTGTAAATATAAAAAATAGATAATATCTCTCTTAAATGAGAGATGCCTGTTCAAAAAAGAATTAAGGAAAATGCTTCTCTAAATTTTGTGTTAAATAGCACGAAGTTGAATTCTATTGAATTCTCCGTTGAATTCTGTTTCAATTTGAAACAGGCAGCCGGATTGTGTATATATGCCGAATTAATAACATAACGTACGTGCTTCTCGCAATTAGCCTTCAAATTGTAATCGCGGTCTACACGACTGCAATTTTCCCGCATTTCGTATAATCGATATCTACGACAAAATTATGTCTGCACAAATATTTTATAATCAGAGCGATCTCTCCTCTGTTTCGTCAATACGTAATCGTTTTTCCAGTTATTTTTCCTGTTATTTCAAACGGAGCGCGCGGCGGGATTTCACGCAGGATTTCGCAAATAATCGTCCTCCATGTAAAAATCGGGATAAAAACGGGACATTATCAATCCTCTCTCGCGTCTATATTGTTTTCGCGCATCGCGTGCGAACCAAAATAAGGCGTCGCTTTGTGCGTCACTGAATAGAGATATCGTCGGGCGTCATCAAGTGGCGAGAAATCATCCGACTCCGGTACCCCCAGCGAACCGCGTTATCTTATCAATGTG